AAAAATGTAAAAGTTACATTTAAAAAAAATTTTTTTTAAACATATTTTTCATTACACTATACTCTTGTTGGTCCAAAAAGTAAATTATAATGTTTGGAATGATTATGAATACTTAATTTGGGCTATATTAAAACTGCCTACACATATTTTAAATGAAAATTTAATTTTTGGCCAAAGATCATGGTCTTCTGGCCCACTGGACAGAAATGTTGAGAATGGACACGGGGAACAAATTGCCTATTTTTGATATTGTAAAATTTTTTTTATCGTACTACTGATTTTTATTATTCTTTTACCGTCGCAACGATCGGAAGAAAGAAAATTTCATTCTGTTTTGGCGATTTGGAAAGACAAGGGATTGTTTAAGTTTCCACTGATTACTTTCATCCTAGGGATTTTTTTTATTTTATTTTCTTACTGCTGCTAACATTATTAAGGCAGTTTTATCTTTCCTATATTACTATAACAAAGGAAATTTTATTCTCTTATCACTACTACTGTAGTAATAGAAATTTTATCTTCTTACCCCTACTACTGTAATAAAGGTATTTTATTCTCTTACCCTTATCTAAGATAAAAGCAATTTTATCTTTCAAATAGTACTATAACAAAAGAAAATATATCCTTTTAGTGATAATACTGCAATAAAGGAAATTTATTTTCTTACCACTACTACTGTAATAAGAGAAATTTGTTCTCTTTAAGGTTAGAGGAAATTGTATTCCCTTATCAGTGATTACTTAATTTTCACTCTCTTTCTACTCTGATAAGAAATTTTATTCCAAAATTGCAAATTATAAAAAACTCAGAAAGAATAAAAGATTATGAAGTGAAATTTAGAATCATTAATATTGGTTAACAACAACACAGTATTTATATTATTCATATTGAGGTCGGATTCCTTTATCTCTCTCAATTTTTAGATGTTATCACAAAAATTTTTTTTTTAAATATTTAAAAATAATAAAATATTTTAAAAATAGTCTTTAATAGACTACAACGTTCACTATTATCTTTATTAACTTTAATTATAAAGTTGGGGGTTCTGCTGAAAGAAGGTTAATTATTTAGGGTTCCGTAGTCGAAAAATATTGGGAACTGCTAATCTAAAGCAAACAAAGATTTACTATTACCTTCCAGCTATCAACTTATAAGTTTGCTTTGCACACTTGAAGAGAATAGTCTACAATTAATTAAAGCCTTGTCTTTCATGTTTACCAGACGAACAATGTGGATTAACACCTCAAAAATAACATTTGCAGAGGCTTACACTTAAAATAGACTTCAGCTATGTTAATGCTTGACATCAGTAGTGCGTGTCAAAGAGTTTGGTGCAATGGAATAATTTACAAACTGATTGAGTTAAAATTCCCACCAGGAATAACTAAGTTTATATATTTATTAAATTTTTAAAGAAGAAAAAAAAGTTTCATTTCTGCTATAGATTTTATTGGTATAGACTAAAAGTTAAACGTTTTGTAACTGTAACAGAAATTGAAAGTTTTTTTAAAAATAAATTTGCAAAACTTGTATTAAAAAAAAGTGAGGTAAAGAAGCGAGCATCAAGATAAAACGATTGGTAATTTATGGAATATATTAACACTTTAAATTCAGTCATTGAATATGAAGCAAAAAAAAAAGCTTTTTTTTTTCAGTAGATGATTCATAAAGAAAAACATTAGTCGTAAAATTACGGAAAAAAAATTAGATTGACATTTCGTCATGTTTGTACATAAAGAAAATAAATGCTTTATACTGTAAGATAAATAATATGTTTTTATTGTAATTCTTCAAAAATTATATTACAAGAAAATTAGACAAAAAGAAGCAAACTAATAAAACACAACTGGTTATTCACAAGAAAAACAAACATTAGCATTGAAGTACAGATTGGCACTATTTTTTAAACATAACAACAGAAATTTAAAGAACATTTAATGGAATGATTTTTTTTTTTGAAGAAAATTTGTTTTGTGATAGCGAGAAACAAAGATGACCCCCCCCCCCCAAAAAAAAAATCAAGAGGGTTAGTTAGTAGGCAAAGGAAAGGAATTACATCTAAAAGAGAGTCTAAGGAAATATTTCTTTATACAGAAAATCTCTAACACTGCCATTGAAAAGCGAGACTTAGCATCATTCCACATATTTTTAAATCTACCAATTAGACATGCCAATATTTGTTTAGAGCAAAATAATCTTAGAACGTCTTAAAATAATTTTTAGTAGCAAGCACTTAAAATCCCAAAAATATGTAGCATTTATTATTTGTAGTAAAAAAAAAGAAATTTTATAGAGCATTAGAACTAATAATAAATTTATATTTAATCAATTTTGGTTTGCTTAGCTTTTGACATTGCAACCTCTCAGAAAAAAAAAGAAATTATATAAAAAGTTAATAGTTCTTGCTTTCTCAAAAATTTCTTAGCTGCAGTTTTCATTGTTTACACTCGCAAGCTTAATAAATACCCCTCTGGTATTTTGTTGCTCTGTTATTTAAAAAGTAACTTATTAAAAAGGTGGAGTACTTCTGACTTTTTATAATTTGATCCAATTTAAGAGCTCATTTAATCATTCATGAGTTAGCTTAATAGAAATGTATGTATACATAAAACTTTATACCTAGAATGACAGGAGGGGTCACAATGGTCCCTTTAGGTATTTTGGTAGCCACCCCATTATCTCAGGAAAGCTTGGGTATAAGGTACTCTATGGTAAGCATAAAGCACCCCAGTTTCATGAAGAAAAAAAATCAAAAGTATTTCAATATATGTATAATTATTATTCATAGAGAAAAGGAAACACAGTTGTCTAATAAACTAATATATATGTATAATTGAAATATCAGTGTTCCATTTAATCAACCAAATTGAATGAAATACCATAGAAACTTGATGATTAAACTTATGCTTGCTGTTCTATTGATTGTAACATGATTCTTACCTAACAATGATTTTGATTTTCTTAGTTGCTTTGGCAAAATATTAAAGTTTTGAAGGCATTTTGTACCTGTAAAATATTTCTTCTGTATTTTTATCTAATTATATTTACAACCTATAACCTTTTAAAGCTATATTTATTTATTATACTTTATATCTCTTCTCTGCTATTATTACGTAGATTTTGATTATTATGCAAAATTAGATGTGTAAAACATTTAAAAATAAACATATTTAAAACGTTATGTAACTACGTTTACATTTATAAAGTAACAAATAAGTTACATTAACCTTCATAATATGTTTTACATTAAACCATACCAGTCAAAAAATGCAATGAAAATAATTAATACAAAATTGTAAAACATTAAAAATTAACTTTTCACTTAGTGGTTAAATATTTTGGGTAATACACAGATCATAAAAATTTAAAAAGTTTTTATAATAACTAATCATGAAACAGGAATTTTTTTTTAAAAAAAGGTTGTCGATGAAGTTTCAACAGTGACCAAAGAAAATTATCAGATTTCAATTTCATCCCAACTGTATTAGGAATTATAAAAACAAAGTTGTAAATGAAGTTCCAATGATAACCAGACAAAATGATCAGGTTTCAATTTTGTCCCAACAGAATAGGCAACGAAATCTGTGTCAAATATAATATATTCATATCTTTCAGGATAGTTTTTAATTTGTGATGTAGCAATCTGTTTATCTTTTGGAAGGAAAAAAATGATCGCATAGCAATCGCAGGGAAGTGCAGAGAGCCCATAGTGGAAACATAAAACTTGTAACGGAATAATAAAATCAACAATAATAAACTTAACATTTAATAATGGCAATTAAATTAAAAAATCACACAATAAAAATTCTGTAATTTAAATTTTTTACAAGAGTCAAAAAATTGGAATTTGTGATCATTGTGGAAAATCCAATATCTATTGGCATTCCATGTTCTAACAATAATCTCACAACACATTGAAAACTGTACATAAATATGTATATATATATATATGTGTGTGTTGTTGTGTTTTCTTTTTTAAAAAAAAAGGTTGCAAGCACATTTTTTCTTCAGTTCTTGTAGGCAGAACAAACAAAGGAAGTCGTCTAAACTCAATAATGGTGTAATAAGCTCAATGCTTCAGCCACTCTGATTCTCACATCTGGGGATTGATCTTTCAACAGTACTAGAAGAGCTGAAAATAAACAAAATGTAAATTTAAGGTGGTTGAATCAACACAGAGACATCAAAAAATGGTTACACTTTCAAGTAATTAAGCAGTTTTGAGTTTTTTATAGCAGTTGTGGGGATATATTTATCGATAATGTAAACCTTCATCTATCAAAAATGAGCCCCAACAAAGAATCGAGTGTTATATACTAGTGAATTGGAATTGTGTTTTTGTAGTGGTAGATACACTACAGTACTCCCCCACCAGAATTATATCTGTGATAGAATTTGATGAACGGATACCCCTAGTTGATTCATCGCTATTTTGTGAGAAGCCGGGAGAGCTGTATTAAGATCATCCTACTTTTTGAGTGCTGATCGTGAGAGCTGTATTAAGTTCACGGTCGTGGTCCCTTCTGTGTTGCCATTAGCAGTCAGGCCAAAGACGTGTATGATCGAGACTGAGTAGCAACAGTGTGAGGAGGTAGAGAATGTCACAGTCACAAGTAGCAAGTCAACTGTTCAATGTGAATCATCCATCGAAGTAGGCATGTTTGTATCGAAGTGGTAGTTTCTCTCAAGGTAGGCTGGTTCACATCACGTCCGGGTCACAAACATGGGAATAGTAGTTATGGACAATGCAAACCTTCATCTATGCAAAGGTATCCCAACATAGAATCTAGTTAACATGTTTTAGTAACATGTTAACATAGAATCTAGTTAACATATCAGTGAATTGGAATTGTATTTTTGTAGTGGCAGACACACTACAGCAGTGGTTAAACTGTTCACCATAGCATCCTGCATACCCTCCAACTTATGAAGATTTTGAAAATAATTCTTTCTAATGGTAGCGAACCAAAGTAGAAATTTTTAAAGCAAATGGATCTCTCATAAAACTTTTATCAGAACTTAAGAATCTAGCCATATGGCCTGCACTTTTATAAGTAATAGTGGACAAGTTACGCTAAAATTAATTTTTTTTAAATATTAAGACATTAATTTTGCTACCGTCTGAAAAGAAGATTTCTGAAACTACGGAAATTCCATAGCAGTTGGAGGGTAAGCATCCTGTGAGTGTGGCATCCACCATTTCAAGTCTAAAATTAATTCTTAACATAACATGCCATTCGCAAGAAACTTTATTTCTGTTCTAACACAAATTGGTTAGTAACATAAAGTGTTTGAATCAACACAGAGACATCACAAAATGATTACACTTTTAAGTAATTAAGTAGTTTTAAGTAACTTTTTTAAATTTTTCATAGCAGTGGTCATCAAACTGTTTGCCATGATATCCTGTGAAAGTGGTGTGGCACACTATATGGTATCAAGTCTAAAATTAATTCTTAACAGAACATGCCATTCGCATAAAACTTTATTTGTGCTCTAACACAAACTGGTGAGTTACGTATAGGCAATCGGAGATGTACTCTTTTTCTTAGAAGACTTTACATTCAATTCAAACGCTCTCACATACACTGGTTAATTAGTTAAATGCAATCTGAGGCACACATCTTGTAATCTTTTTATCAATAATCTTGAATGTTGGCACTGACTATTTCATTCAAACTTATTTTTTATTAAGGATTTGTACCAAAATTGAAGAGAAAAAAAATATCTAAAATATACCTTGTGTAAATTACAAAACATAATCATTGATGCCGACTGCTCCACTTTTTGCAAATAAGGCACAAAGGGATTAAAAATAAAAACCAACACTTAAAGGAATAGAATTAATCTTGTTCATCATTAAAAGGTTCATCACAATATAACTTTAAGTGCTTTTCCACTTTGATTTATTATTTAAAATGTAACTTACTCATTTTGTCTTTTTCTGAATTTGTAAATTAGTTTCATTTTTTGATTAGATCTTTAAATAGCTTTTAAGAAATTTAGATAAATCAATAATTAGAACTAAAAACATTGGCAGTTAGCTTCTCCGCAATCATTCCGCGAAGTACAAACTAAATTTCAAATAAACATCAATTAATAATGATAGTGAGAATGCATACCAGAACAGACCCTTTCTTTTGGAATCAAGTTATGCTTTTCAGGCGGAAGGTTCCCAAGAATATAACCTAAATATTAGAAAAGAAAAAAATTATTATAATTAATAGAAGAGAACTATGGTTCGATAATTATTTTTTTGTGTCAAAACTTTTCAAAAATAGCTAAAGAGGAGTGGGGTCAGAAAAGAAACCTAAACCAGGTTTATTTTGTAAATAAACAATCAATTTATGGCAAATTTTTTAAAATATATATTTAAGTGAGAATAAAATTGAATCAACTATTTGAATTGATTGTGAGGAAATCAATTATTTACTACTTTAAAAATATTAAGCTATCATCTCGAGCAGTTGCATAGCTAGAGAGGCATCTGTCCCTGCGTGCAAGAGAGTCATATTTGTGATTATTAAAATTCATTACAAATGAATTCCAGAATAAAATTAACTTTGATATTTTCCATCTCATACATAAGACTATTCCAAAGGTCTCTTTTTTGCAAGCATAAGCTTATAATTTAATATTTTTATTTAATTAGTAACACATGAAAATTCTATTCTAACTTTTCAATGGCAATTGTTTTGAATTTACAAAGTTAAATTTTGCTTTCCTTTGGATAACTATTTAAAAAATTCCACAATTTTATTGAAAAAATAAATTTGCAAGGAAATTATTCTTATAAATTTCCTTACAAATGATTTATATATGAAAAATGAACAGTTTTTGTAACATTTTTCATACATAAATCAGGCATAATTCACACAATGAATTGTAATAGTCTGAAGAAAATTCTCATAAATTGGACCACTGGTTTTTGTTAGATATCATAAAACATTTTATAAAACTGTTTAAAACGTACAAAAACTGTATAAAATAAATAAAAGTATTCTGAAACAGAGATTTACTTCCACATGAGTTTCATTTTATTTGATGAGTGATGTTTGTGGGAAATGAATTTCTTGTTGTGAACGATTTTCATAGTTCAGTTTAAAACTATAAACTTCAGTTCATATAACAAATAATTCATATTTCAGTTTCATACAACAAAAATAATTTTTCTGTATGTTTTTATAAGCATTCTAATATTTTCTGACTTTGATGTTTAATTTAATCTGCTTGTTTTATCGTTAATGTTTTATTCAAAATCATACTCTACAATTCAGTTTTTATAAAACCCTAATCCTAACTCTGTAAACCCATGGCAGTGGCATCTCTTAATTTGAATAATATTTTTCTCAAAGGTGTTCAGTTTAATGGAAACCAATAAAGTTGGAGTATTATATATCTTAGATTATAATAATACTTTCAATTTAATAAATATTGTTTGTTTTATTTTTGTTTTTCCTTTTTGATAAAAATAACCACCAGTCACCACAAGATTTATAAAAAATTCTAATAATATTTTTGTCCATTCCTCACAAACAAAAATAAGGCGGTATAGGACAAGAGAAGTAATCAAGTTTATTCTGTAGTTAACCATTAAATTAAAAGAATGTGGAATATCTGGCTGGGAGGAAGCAAGATCTATTGCTAAAGACAGGGGGCGTTGGAGGGATATGCTGGAGGCCTTAAGTGCCCAAGGCACATAGAGGATAAGTGTAAAAACCATTAAATTTAGAAAAAAAATTGAAAAAGGCATATTTTTTTAACATTTCATCCATTTATTTCCAAGTAAAGTATCATAGCTTAAGGGGAACACTCTTAGTTTCATATTAAAGTAAAGGAATTAAATGGTCATAATCTTGGAAAACGCAAGTGTTCAGGTAACATTTTAAATTTTTAATGCTGGAAGGATTGGAAGTCTATCCCAAGAATACATAATTAAGGACTAATGTTTAATCCTAGATGTAATTTTAATTAGAAAAATAAAATAAAATTAGAAGGTATAAATAATTAATCATTGAGAGTCGCCGTGGCTCAGCGGATAGAGCCTTTGCCTCCCAATGAAGTGACCCAAATCCGAATCCCATCGATGCTGGTTGCTACCAATTCTGCATTGACCACAGTACTTATACTCAGTGGTAGATAGAGTGTGGGTTAAAATCCCCTTGATAGAACCGAGATAGGTTTTCGTACTTATTCTCTTCATGTAGTGCTAATTCAGGTTAATTTTACTGCAAAGTCGTCTGTGTAAACAAATTTGATACAATGCTTGATCTAGGAGTTACATTGGCTTCTGGGTTGGGTTAAAAAATTACAAGGCTACAGAGTTGAAATATTGAAAGTTGTAAACTCCAAATTGTGTCGGCTGTTGTAAAAGAAAAAATCTAAAATATAAACTATGAAAATAAAGTAAAACTTGTCCGTGGCAGTAAAAGATTACAACAGGGAGCCTTGATTAATGAAAGAAAGATTAGTAAATTCTCCGAAGGTTTACTATATTTGCAATAATTAGATGATTATTACAACACACTTACCTAAAAACGTTGCTGCGTTGCACTGGATGAGTGGGAATTGACTTTTTAAGTACGACATACAAGTTGTAGTATAAAATCCTATTTTGTCAGGAAATCTAGCTATCTATAAAATTAATAACATGTATCATGAAAGTTCATACATTAAAACTTTTACAACAGTTATAAAAACAAAATCTAGATTTTTTTATTTTCATTCCTTTTGTAACTTTGTTTACAATTACAAAATGAAATTAATAAAAAAAAAGGAAATTTCCTAAGAAGAAATTAATTTTTTTGCAACATGCATTTGCAAAACGTTAAAAAATTTAATTATGAATATTTCACGATAGCAACACTATTTACTACAGCAATATTGAAATAAAAATAATTTGTCTGTAATATTTGAATTTCAAGGTCAAATGTACAATTATATTGATAGAGTGATGATTCAAAAACAATATATTTTCTTTTCTAAAGAAGTTGAATTGAGTTCATAATGGCTTAAATATAATTCAGAATTCAAATATTAAAGCAAAAAAAAAAAAATGCATGTAGCAACCATGTTTATTTAAGGAATAGGTGAAATGCAAACACATAGATTTCTAGTGGCAATCATATTTAATTGGTTTCCAAATATCATTTTAAATATTAGTCATAAATTTGTTTGAATTAAAATATACTTTTAGAAAAAGTGTACAGCTGCTATTAAATAACATTTTATCGATTTGTGCTTCTTATTTAAATAACCAAGACTATAACATTAGAATAGTAATCTATTGATAAATTACCAAATGCAAATTAGAGCACATAACTTACATATAGTAAAGTCATGCCACATTCCTACTTTTACTTTCATATAAAAAGTTCCCCTTTAAAAATACCATCCCAAAATTAAATGAAAAAATAAATAAATAAATAAATGTCTGAAAAAATATTTAAAAAAAAAAAAGAATTTTTCAAAAAAGAAAATCAAATTAGCTTTTCAATCATGACAAAATAATTATCATTTCAGTATCTATCATGATACAAAAAAAGGTTGGTTGTTTTGTTGCTTCACTATTGCGAAAGCAACGGTGGAGTTTATCATGCTTTATACACATTTTTTCAAAAATAAATGACAATGCTTAAGACATAGAGACATTACCACTGTTTTTGTAAATCCATTAACAAATTCTCCATAATTCAGGTGAGAATCTTCAAGTAAATACTTTTGGAACATAGAATTCAATTCTTCACATTCTAAAATAGGTCCCATCAACCTCAAACCATACTTGCAAGACTGCAAAAATAAAGCCCTGTGATTAATATGTAAGTGAACAACTTTTAAGAGTTTGCCTCAAAAATGATGTGAGAATGCTTACACACAATTATAGCACTCATTTACCCAAACATAATTTCAATCAGAAAATAATTTGTAAAAATTATTAACTATTTAATTTAATCTGCTAAATTTTAGATTTTTAAATCCACAACTTTTTATGACTTTCCATGACTAATTCCAAGAATTTTCATGACTTACCAAAGTTACTATTTCTTCCGGAAAAAAAAAACATAACAACAAATTTAATAATTCTCCTTCATCTGCTCAAGCATGCAGCATCAGCCTTTCACCACTGTTCAGCATTGCTAACCACTCTAAAAGCCCCCTGACTAAATCACAGGCAAAATGGCAACATTTTCGCAGAGCACTGTTGAATTCTTGCAGAAAAGAAAAAGGATTTTTCTTTTGGGAAGCTAAAATTTTTTTTTCCTTTTTTGCAGAATTTTTAAGACGTATAATTCCCCTGCAGAATTATAGTCTAAAGATACTTTTTTTGTTCATCGGTAAAGAAAGAAATTCTCCTGATTTTTCTGTTCTCATTTGGGAATGAAAAAAAAATCGTCAATGACTGGCTTGCTTCAGCTAGAATTTTAAATTGATAAAATAAAAATAAATAATAACAAACATTCTGAAATCACATAAGTTTAAAATATAATTAGCTCTATAAATGATGTTCTTTCGCTCATTTTTGGAAAGAACAATATAATTTTTAAAAAGCCCCATAAGAACATTTTATATTTTAATAAAATGCGACTGTGAGTGGGAATTTTGTAACAAATTCAGATATTTGAAAAATTGTGAAATTGGGGAGATAAATTCCATTTTAAAAATGAGACTTTTCTGCGACCTAAATCCATGACTTTCCATGATGTTTTTCAAAAAAATAGTTAAAATCATGGCATTTCATGAAAAAATTTTTCAATATAAAATTTTGTCCATAACTTTCCATGATATTTCAGATGTGCGGATACCATGTATTTAGTCTTAATAATAGAGCCTGAATGATAATTTACTATTAGCATTAGCTGCACAATGTGCTATTGGAAATATCCCTGAGGATGCATATATGCTATCACAATACTGATCGTGTGCAAAGAACATGACTTCTTCTCTTTGATAACCAGATGTCCTGTGCCTGAAGTCGAGCACTTTAAAATAGAATAATTTAATGAGGGCCGATACTGCACACCCTCAGTCATTTTCGCAGGTTAATCTCAGAGGTCACCCAACGTAGCGAGTGATGCTTGACTTCGGTGATCTGCTGGGAACTTTGAATTAAAGATCAGTCCATTGTGGATCTTACTCTATTTAGTAATGGTAATTTATAAATTTTTAAAATTATTCTGTTTTTATTACAGGTCAAAACATGCAAGCTCAATAGACTATATACTAGAGAAACTAGCTAAATATTTCTAAAGTGACACAAAAATTTTAAAACTAATTTTTTTACAACGTGTTGCTAAAATATAGTTACCTTTTCATACCATGGAAACATATAAATTTTCTTTAAATATTAACTTTAAATTAGTACTTTTAATCATTAATTAAAATTAACTACTAATCGAGTTGATCAGTTTTTAAAAAAAACTTAAACCAACCCAAAGATAAAAAAAATATACCCTGAGTAACCTCCAAATTAATAATCTTCTATGTACATAGTTGGAATTTCCAGGGTTTAAGGGATTACAGTACACAAAGAATTTCCAAAATATCGATATTTTTTTATTGTTTATAATAAAACTTCAAACTATTTCAAATGAACTAAAAAAAATCCTCTCTCTATCTACATTTTCTAAAAATTTATGAAGGATTTTAGATTGCCCTAAAACAGAAACTTGTTCAGAAGACAGACTTTAAAGTGCCTTTTCTCATAGATGATAATTATATGTTTTAATCTTAATTAAATCCTTAAGGATTTTTTTTTATTTTAGATAAAGCTCTGAAGTAAACTTTTTATCTTAAGTATAATACATATATTCAAACTGTGCATGAAATAAGCATTTTATGAGGTATTATAATTTTTACTGCATGTTATATATACCTAACAGGAATTTTTAACCTTTTTTTTTTTACGTTTTTACAAAATAATCTATAAAAATTGTTTTAACTGATATATCAACAAATGAATGCATACAATCGTTAAGATGAATATTGTAAGCACTAAGTAGAATTTTTTTTTTTTGAAAATATGTTAAAATAAAAAAACCTTATGGGTTTAAAAATAATGAGTTTTTTCTATTTTTTTTTTAAATTTTAGAAAAATTAAACAGTTTAACAATTTTTTTGAAGATAAATGATTGATTATAAGTTAAATGAGCATGTAAAGCATCCCCAAAATGAATGATTATACCTTTATTTTAAAAAAAAATGTTGCAAGGGTACTGTGACTCCCAGACCACGCTTAAAAAACAAGCTAGTTATTAGCACTAATCATTAAGTTATAGAATATAAAGACAATAAAAATATTTTGCTGATTAAAAACACAGATACTGTTTTTCAAAGCATTCAGAATGTACAGATGTTTTTTTAAAAAACAGTTATAAAACTCATTAACCCCTTAACTGCCGCGGGCGTATATATACGTCTCAGCCAGACGATGCGTTAACTGCCGCAGGCGTATATATACGCTTTCCCGAAGTACGATGCTTTGCATTGCGCTGCTATAAATAGAACTACACCCCCTACTTCAGAATGCAGTAAAATGGCCTTGAAAGTGTTTGCTTTGCGAATGTATTACTAATTTCGGAGGAGGGGGAATGGGAAAAGGATGTTATGGAAAAGTGATATCGTATTATTTGAGTAAGAGTGTATTTATTTGAGTAAGGTCGGGTTTATTTTTTTTTCGCTTTTGTTTTCCGTATGTATTTGGTGCTTTTTGTTCTTTCCATCAACGTCTTCAAAGAAAAATGCATCGCGAAAATGTGCTGTTTGTTCAAGAAAAAAAATTCGTCGTGA